TCTTATTGCTCTAGCTAGAACTTCAAGTACAATATTGAAGAGGTATGCAGAGAGTGGATAGCCTTGTCTTGTTCCTGATTTTAGAGGAAACGCTTTGAGTTTCTCTCCATTTAGTTTGATGCTGGCTATTGGTTTCATGTATATTGTGTTTATCATGTTTAGATATGTTCCTGTTATTCCTGTTCTCTCCAAGATCTTTATCATGAAGGGATGTTGGATTTTGTCAAAGGCTTGACAAAATGAAGGGATTTATCAGCATCTAGTGAGATGATCATGTAGTTTTTCTCTTTCAGTTTGTTTATATGGTGGATTATATTGGGATTTTCTTTTGTTAAACCATCCTTGCATCCCTGGGATGAAACCTACTTGATCATAGTGGATGATTTTTCTGATGTGTTCTTGGATTCCATTTGCAAATATTTTGTTGAGTATTTTTGCATCAATGTTCATGAGGGATATTGGTCTGTAGTTCTCTTTTTTAGTTGTATCTTTGTGTGGCTTGGGTATCAAATTGATTGTTGCTTTGTAAAATGAGTTTGGCAATATTCCTTCTGCTTCTATTGTGTGGAACAACTTGTGCAATACTGGTATTAGCTCTTGTTTGAATTTCTGGTAGAATTCTACAGTGAAGCCATCTGGCCCTGGGCTTTTTTTGGTTGGGAGGCTTTTGATGACTGCTTGTATTTCATTATGGATTATAGGTCGATTTAAACTTCTTATCTGTTCTTGGTTTAAATTTCGTGAGTGATATCTATCCAGGAAACTGTCCATTTCTTTTAGATTTTCAAATTTTGTGGATATAGGTTTTCCATGTATGACCTGATGATTCTCTGGATTTCCTCAGTGTCCGTTGTTATATCCCCCTTTTCTTTTCTGATTTTTCTAATTAGCATGCTCTCTCTCTGCCTTTTGGTTAGTTTGGATAGAGGTTTGTCTATCTTCTTGATCTTCTCAAAGAACCCACTCTTTGTCTCATTGATTCTTGGTAAATTTTTCCTAGTTACTACTTCTTTGATTTCAGCTCTCATTTTGATTATTTCCTGTCATCTACTCCTCCATAGTGAGTTTGCTTCTTTTTGCTCTAAAGTTTTCAGTTGTTCTGTAAATTTTCTCATGTGACTATTCTCCAGTCTTCATATGAGCACTTAGTGCTATGATCTTTCCTCTTAGCACTGCTTTCAGTGTGTCCCTTAAGTTTGGATATGTTGTGTCTACATCCTCATTAAATTCTAGAAAGTCTTTGATTTCATTTTTTATTTCTTCCTCAACCCAGAAATGGTGCAATTGGGAGTTATTCAATTTCCTCAAGTTTGTAGGTTTTCTGCAATTTGTATTGCTGAGAATTCTACCTTTAAAGCATGGTGATCTGATAAGATACAGGGGTTATTTCAATTCTTTTGTAACAGTGGAGGTTTGCTTTGTTGCCAACTATGTGGTCAGTTTTAGAGAAGGTTCCATGTGGCGCTGAGAAGAAGGTATTTTTTTGTGTTTGGATAGAATGTTCTATAGATACCTGTTAAACCCAGTTAGGTCACAACTTCTGTCAGATCCTTTGTTTATTTGTTTAGTCCCTGTCTGCTGGTCCTGTCTAGCAGTGAAAGCAGGCTGTTGAACTCTCCTACTATATATGTGTGTGTGGTTTTATGTGTGATTTGAGCTTTAGTAATGTTTCTTTTACAAATGTGGGTGCCTTCGTATTTGGTGAATAGATGTTCAGGATTGAGACTTCATCTTGATTGTCTTTTCCTGTGATGAGTATGAAATGTCCTTCTTCATCTCTTTTGATTGATTTTAGTTTAAAGTCTAATTTGTTAGATATTAGTATTGCTACACCAGCTTGTTTCTTGGGCCCATTTGATTGGAAAATCTTTTCCCAACTTTTTACTCTGAGGTATCTCCTGTCTTTGAAGTTGAGGTGTGTTTCTTGTATACAGCAGAAGGATGGATTCTATCTTCGTATCCATTCTGTTAGACTGTTATGGGCAGGTTAAGACCGTTGACACTGAGGGATATTAATGTCCATTGATTGTTTGTTTTGGTTTTACTGTTGATGGTGTCATTGTGTGTCAATTTTGCCCTCCTGGTTTTTTTTTTGTGTTTGGTAGTATTGGATTATCTTTTTCCTATATTTTTTGAGTATAGTTGTCTCCCTGGGTTCGAGTTTTCTTTCCAGAACTTTCTGTAGTGCTAGATTTGTTGGTATTTATTGTTTAAGGTTGGTTTTGTCATGGAATATCTTGTTTTCTCCATCGTTGGCATCCATGCTCTCTTAGTGTTCGTAGGATATCTATCCAGGACTTTCTGGCTTTCAATGTTTCCATAGAGAAGTTGGGTGTGATTCTGATAGGTCTGCCTTTATATGTTACTTGGCCTTTTTGCTTTGCTGCTGTTAATATTTTCTCTTTATTCTGAAGGTTTGGTGTTTTGATTATTATGTATCTAGGGAACTTCTTTTTGTGGTCTAGTCTGTTTGGTGTTCTGTAAGCTTCTTGTACTTTCATAGGCATATCCTTCTGTAGGTTGGGGAAATTTTCTTGTATGATTTTGTTGAATATGTTTTCTGTACTTTTGAGCTATAGTTCTTCACCTTCTTCTATACCTATTATTCTTAGGTTCAGCCTTTTCTCGGTGTCCCATATTTCCTGGATGTTTTGTGTTAAGGATTTGTTGGACTTGAGATTTTCTTTGGTCGATGATTTTATATCCTCTAGAGAGTCTTCAACAACTGAGATTCTCTATTCCATCTCTTGTATTCTATTCATTATACTCACAACTTTAGTTCCTGATTGTTTATCCAGCCTTTCTATTTCCAGCATTGCCTCATTCTGTGTTTTATTGTTTCTGTTTTCAGCTTTCATGCCTTGAACTGTTTCAAGTGCTTCCTTCACTTGTTTGGTTGTTTTTTCTTGGCTTTCTTTGGATTCTTTAAGAGATTTGTTTACTTCTTGAATTCATTGATTTGTCTTTTCCTCTGTCTCATGTAATTTTTTGCTTGTTTTTTCATCTATTTCTTTAAGGGATTTTCTTGTTTCCTCTTTAAAGGACTCTATCATCTTGCTGAGATAATTTTTGAGGTCCATCTCTTATTTATGCATTGTGTTGGGCTTTTCAGATCCTGCTGGTGTGGATTCCCTAGATTCTGGGGGTGTCATATTGGTTTTTCTGTTGTTGAGTGTGTTCTTACTCTGTCTTCTTACCATCCCTTCTTCCAGTGAGTGCAGGTGGGGTCTCTCCCTCTTTCAGGTGGCTGGCGCAGGGCTCAGCCTCTGGCGGCAGTGGGATCACCGAGGGTGGTGGGTGGATTAGGGTGGGTTTTGCCCAGTATGGGAAGGTCCACTCTTGTCTGGGTGGCATCAGGCAGAATCGAGCAGGTGTTGATGGAGGAGGTTGGGGGGGCGGGCAGAGCAGCACCCAGACTCACCTTAGGATAGGATACCTGCCGCTGGACAGAGGGCAGGGTGTAAAACCCAATATTGCCATTTTTACTTTATTGATCCTTCCTATCCAAGAACATGGGAGAGCCTTCCATTTTCTGGTATCTTTTTTAATTTCTTTCTTTAAAGAATCAAAATTCTTATGATACAGGTCTTTGTTTTTTTCTTTTTTTTTTTTCTTTTCTTGTTAGAGTTACCCCAAGGTATTTTATGTTGTTTGTGGCAATTGTAAAGTGTGATGTTTCTCAGCACATTTATCATCCATATATATTGGGGCTACTGGGTACAAAACTGGATTGAATGCATAAAAAAGCCTCTGACTTATTTTTCTCTTTTTTTGTTTGTTTGACTGATTGTTTCATGAGAGACACTGTCTCAATATATACTTCTGTCTGTCCTGGACCTGATTGCATTGACTAGGCTAGCATTCAACTCAGAGGCAGATATACCTGCCTCTGCCTTCTGAGTGCTGGGTTTACAGGTGTTGGTCAACACACCCAGTTTGTCCATCTTACTTTTCTTTTTATAGGTAGTAATTTTTCATGCAATTTTTCTCATGTACATATGTATTCTTTAATGTTAATCTGTCTACTTGTCTGTCTCTGATTGTTAATAGGTATTTCTCTTGCAAGGTGATATCCTATTCAAAGGACACAGAAATGGCAGAGGTGACCCTGATATTCACTTTCCTTCTAAAAGGAACTTGGTGATTACTGTATATGTGTGCCATGGAATAAGTATTGGGAGCATAAGAATTATATGACTATACTGTCAAAGAAGTATACATTTACAATATTATCAATATCATGTTTTTGTTGTGCATGTCTGGAATATTTTAGAATTCAGTGACCTATGATGATGTGCATGTTGACTTCACTTGGGAAGAGTGGACTTTGCTGGACCCTTGCCAGAAGAATCTCTACCAAACTGTGATGCTTGAGACCTACATGAACCTCACTAGTATAGGTAAGACCGAATTTTCATGCACATTTTAAAATAAAGGGACACGTATCCCATGGTTATTGATATTCTTTTGTGATTTGATTGAGTAAGAAAAATAAGGGGAATAATCAGTCATGGTTCTATGGTTAACTGAAGATAGTAAATTAAATTTTACATAATTTTCAATAATATATACTTTCTTGTACTATATTTTAGGATACAAATGGGAAGACCATAATACAGAAGAACATTGTCAAAGTTCTAGAAGACGTGAAAGGTAATTTTCACGTGTAAGATGATACAAATGTGCCTCAAAAATTTCAACGTGTCCTGGAAGTTTTAAACAAAAGCAACATTAGAAATAAGCACAGCTTAAAGTACACTGATGTTATTAAATTCTAAAACCATAAGTCTCAATTTCAGGTAGGTGAATTGTGTTTGCAAGGCCATCTTTTAAGGAAGAAGACAGGGAAATAATGGGCCTAATAGATATCACCATTTTAATCACAGCACCATGAGAGCTATGCTGTAGAACAGTCAATCCATTTATTTCATATTACAAACAGTAAACTCATTGAAGATGTGATAATTATATCTCCAAAACCTTCTAATTAACAAATAGTCCATAACAACGCTACTGTTACTCATATATTAGTGGGAGGAGCAGTTATGGTGATGAATCAAGGGACACTTGTTGTGGAGACCTTAATCCCTATACTACAAGTCTATGAGGAATGCAAATTCAAACTGGGTGAATTTATTGTGTAAACCTTTTATTAGTTATTATTTCTTTACAAGCTGTAACATATGTTACTCTGGATATAAGCCATATGAGTATAGCGATACAGAAAGGCATCCCATATCTGTATCTCAGAAAAATTAGAAGATATGCAGCAGTCCCCCCATTGAGTAGACTTGAATTTGATTCAATATACAAGTAATTGGTTTTTCAGTTTCATGGTTAATACATCAATAAATTCACAATATAAAAAAGCCCTGTGAGTACTAAAACTGTGTAAATACTCTGTCCTAGTTCACTTAGCAAATGTAGTATGACTCACACTATAAGAGAATTATGAATGCAGTAATGGTGGTGAAGATCTAAATTTTTCCAGTTCTCTTCAAATATGTAGAAAGTCTCACATAGTAAAAAAAGATTCTGTTAATGTGAAGCATGTAATATAGGATATTACAATGACAGGTATCATTAAAGATGCAAAACCACCCTTTAAGAAAGGGAACAACATGAGTGTATAAACAGTCATAAAATCTTGAGATCTGGTACCTCTTTGAAATTGAACCAAATTGAAAAATTAATTCATACAGACATGAAGTTTGAACAGTGTGTTGAATTTGATAAAGCTGCTACATGTTCCAATTATCCTTGCAGGCATGAAAAAAGACAAACTGGAGAGAAGCCTTCTGCATATACTCATTGTGTTAAAGCCTTTGCATATGACAGTCATCTTCAAGGGCATGAAGGAACATGTACTGGAGACAAACCCTATGAATGCAATCAGTGTGGTAAAGCCTTTGCACAACAAAGAAATCTTCAAGCCCATAAAAGAATACATACTGGAGAGAAACCCTATGCATGTGATCAGTGTGGTAAAGCCTTTTCTCATCCTAGTACTCTTCAAATGCATAAAAGAATAATACATACCAGAGAGAAACCCTATGAATGTAATCAGTGTGGTAAAGTTTTTGCATGTCAGAGTCATCTTCAAGTGCATAAAAGAATACATACTGGAGACAAACCCTATGAATGTAATCAGTGTGGTAAAGCATTTTCTCATCACAGTTCTCTTCAAAAGCATAAAAGAACACATACTGGAGAGAAACCCTATGAATGTAATCAGTGTGGTAAAGCTTTTGCATGTCAGAGTCATCTTCAAAGGCATAAGAGAACACATACTGGAGACAAACCCTATGAATGTAATCAGTGTGGTAAAGCCTTTTCTCATCACAGTACTCTTCGAATGCATAAAAGAACACATACTGGAGAGAAACCCTATGAATGTGATCAGTGTGGTAAAGCCTTTTCTCATCACAGTACTCTTCGAATGCATAAAAGAACACATACCGGAGAGAAACCCTATGAATGTGATCAGTGTGGTAAAGCTTTTGCATGTCAGAGTCATCTTCAGGTGCATAAAAGAACACACACTGGAGAGAAACCCTATGTATGTGATCAATGTGGTAAAGCCTTTTCTCAGCATAGTACTCTTCAAATGCATAAAAGAACACATACTGGAGACAAACCCTATGTATGTAATCAGTGTGGTAAAGCTTTTGCATGTGACAGTCATCTTCAAAGGCATAAGAGAACACATACTGGAGACAAACCTTATGAATGTAATCAGTGTAGTAAAGACTTTGCTCGTCAATGTAATCTTCAAGTGCATAAAAGAACATATACTGGAGAGAAACCCGATGAATGTAATATTTTTTATTTTAGCCTATGCACTTATCAGTAGTCTTTGAAATGATGAGAAAAAAATCATACTTCACTGAAACCCTATAAAAATAGTCAGTGTGGTAAAGTTTTGCCCTTTATATGGGAGTAAAACTTTTTTTGTGTTCAGTCAATCTATTCAAGCTTTTTCATATTATAATAGTCTTTGGGTACCTGAAAAAATATAGTAAGGGCTTTTTATTATAAAAGATTTGGTAAGATCTTTAGGTAACACACTTACAGTCAGTTGCAACAATCTGTCCAAGCATTATGCTATCTGTTTTTATATTGTTTGCACCAGCACTCTCATGGGAAAAAAAATCAATTTATGAACCATATATGCAGGGTAAATGGACCACCTGAAGAAACACACACTGATCCTGCAAACAGCCAGTGAATCACACAAACTTTGGCCCTGAAACTGGAGTAAAAGAAACAAACACTTTGCCCCTAATCCAGAGCCAGTCAAAGAAGCATCCTAGCCCTGAAACCAAAGCCAAAATGTGAGAATGGGCCAGTGAATGGAACACCTTTTGTCCCTGAATCCAGAACCAAAGAAACACACTCAAACCGAGTTCTGATTATGAAATACAGCCAATCTCTGGAATTGTTTACTCCCAGGCATTGAAATCCAACCAATTTCTACCCTGAAAATTTTATGCCTGGAAAAATCTCCACCCCAAGGAGCCCTATGTAAAGTGTGTGCTCGTTCAGTTGGAAGCTGCCCTGGTGCACCCTGGCAGAGGCAGCCATTCCTGGATTCCTCCCTCTCAAACAAGTCTCTCGAATGAATTTTGGGTGAAGAGCTTCTCACATGTGAGCAGAACAGAAACTCCCTAGTGGAGCAGAGCAGAGAGGTGAGGACACCTCTTGGGAAACTGCCTGAGGGGAGTGGAGCAGAGCAGTGACAGACATGTCTGCTTGGAAACTCTTACCAGAGTGGAGAGGAGCCCCGCTGTAATGGCTCTCTCTCAGAGAGGAGCAGGATTGCTATTCCTTGCAGGAGACCATCTCCCACGGGAATGTAGCTTCATGAATAGCCTGACATCTGACAGTCAAGATTCCTTTTTCCTAACAGCTATAGGTATCCAATTCCTTTCTAATCTGTAGGTATAGCCTGCCTTATGACAGTCAGGGTACAGTTCCTTCCAGAACTGTAACACTTGCACTATGAATTTAAAGGATAACATAACCATTTTAGATTTTATACTTCTCTTCAATTTGCTTGAAATATTTAATTCAGGTGTAAAACTTATGGGTTTGTTTTAGTTTCTTATCTGTTCCTGTGATATAAGGTCTATGTCAACTTACAAGAATTTAATTTGGCTCTTGGTTCCAGAAAGATGCAGGAGCACCATGAAAGTGGCATGGCAACTAGTGTCAGAAATGGACGCTATATCAGCAGGCTAAATACTCACATCCTTTAACTGCAGCATGAAGCAGAGAGTGGGAAATGGCATTTGGATGTCAATTCTCAATGCCTATCCTCAGGGACATCCAGAAGGGCATTATTTCCAAAATTTCCCAAATGATGCCATCAACTTGGACTTCACTCCTTGGACATCATATACCAATTCATGATGAAGAAAAACTCTGTAAGTAAGCCGTTAGATACCTTCACACCTGTGTTACAGGAATGATTGAAAAAATAGTTTGTTTAGTGTGTTTTAAATGTAATTATGTACTGTCAGTGCCTGATTGAGTGGGTATGTGAATGTGCATTATGGTTCCTGACAACATTAGATCCTTGGCAGTAGGACCAGGATGTATCCCTGGTGCATGAGCTAGCTTGTTGGGGACCATTTCCTATGAGGGGTTGCCATGATCAGCCTTAATGCAGGGGAAATGGCAATGTTTTAGTGTGTGGTGGGAAGAAACGTTGGAAGGCTGGTTTGTGGAAATTCTCAACTTTGCATTCCACATTCTGTTTTGTGTGACAAGGTTTACAAATAGTTTAGAACTGACATAAAGGAGGTAATGAGGGCTCATCCTTCAGAAGTACTTGATTAGAATGCTTATTAGTTTCCTCTGCCACTAGCCACAATAGTATGATTCAGGGAAATCCAACACCAGGGAACAACAGGAATATCTGAGCTACAGAGGTTCTTTGGGTGTACATGCTGTTGTGCAGGTTAATAGGGTAGATTGCACCTATTGTGCCATAATCCATGTGGCAAGATGCAGGATTCTTCAATGTTTTTGGTGTGGGCATGAGTCAGACTGGGTTTGCTAGAAAGACAAGGGGAATGAAGGAATGCATAACCATATTAAGTCTCTCTGATCACCTCCATTTCCAGAGAGAGCTCTAGAGCATGGCACCTCTGTATTTGGGAGAGAGATCACTAGTAGCTGGAGGGTCAGAAATAGAGAAATTTAGGGTTCACTTTGAGTTATTTTTGTGGGATTTCTGAAGTCTGTGTTTATTTAATTTCTATATAGGCTCTATCATAGGTTCCATTTGTTAAGTTCACATTTTTCCTGGTTGAGTTTTCTTAGGTCTTCTGATTTAAGTTTGACTATATTTTTCTGCTTTCATTCTTGGCTTTTTCTTCTATCCCCTTATTTGTTCACAAATACTGTACATATTCTTTGTTGTTGTAGATTTATGTGAAGGACAAAATTATGTCAATGTGTGTATCATTTTTTATTAATCCTATTCTGAGTTTTTTCATGTGTCACATAGGTTTGTAATCAGATTTACTTTTGTAATTGGTTGGGAATTTTCTATGGATAGTGTTGAATTTATGCTGTAAGTTGAACATACCCAACATCTTCATGATGTTGAAAATACATCATTTTAATACTGTTGTTTGCAAAAGTATAAAGGGCTAAAAGTAATCTTTGTTTAGCAAACTACAAAAAATGTGTAAAAGTGAAACCATTTGAAACTGTGTACAAAGACAGAAAGAAGACTGTAATACAGTTTAGTGGCACAGAATACATCATTATGTTCACATAAAAAGATAGCCTAGTAAGTATTATTTAATTGAGAAAACAAAAGAGTGAAAGTAAAACTAGCTCCAGAACTTAACAGTGAATCTGAATGTGACATGTTACTGTAAAGTGCCATGCAAAATAATCTCTGATAATAGTAGGTTGGGATTTTCAACAGGTATGAAACAAAATTAGTTGAAAGCATGATGCATTCTAATCATTGATATAAAATTGCCCATATTTACTGTATGTATTCAGAGACATTTGGACATATTGCCTACACCCAAGCAATCATATTACTATAAGCAAAAGAATAAACAATGTTCTCCAGACATTCTTCTTCTATCATTGTGTTCATGTGTCTCTATAGTATACAGAGTTCTCATAAAATGGCACAATTGCAATGGAACCCATATATACTATATTTTCCATACAATAAAAATTATTTTTGGTGTTCTGGAACTTATTATTATGCTTGTCATTTATGAGTTACATCTTAACATATTGATAACATGTCTACAGATATTATATGGAGACCACAATGTAGTCATAAGCACATAAGGAACAAAAGTAGTACATCACAAGAATGTACTGAGTGATGTTCTTTCACAATAGAACTAGCCTCTGACCATATTCAACAATGACCCCATCTATTTGATGATCATATTGAGTTGAGATTATACTCTGTTAGTCATTGTGGTATAAATGAGGTGTCACTCTTTGATTCAAAAGGTGTTGTATGAGATAATGAGAGTGTCAGAAATGGATTGCAGCTACATGTGATGTCTTGTGCCTATAATCTTATCCACTGGGAGACCAAAACAAGAGGATCAGCTATTCAAGACCATCCTGTGATACCTAGAGAGGTCAAAGCCAGCCTGGCCTACATGAAATCATGTCTCAGAAAAAGGAAAATAATTGCATGGTGTATGGGTTGGGACTGAGCTCCACATAAGATTTCTTTATTGTGGCCAGCCCTGCTTTTATGGTCTCCACTCACCATAAAGAGGCTTCTTTGATTAGAGAGGGTTAGCTGTACTTATCTGTTGGCATAAGAACAAGATTCAGAATGTAGTCAGGGATTGTGCTGGTCAAGCAAAGAGGAGGCATGGGTATTTTCCTAAAAGTTCATGGCTTCATCAGTTTCAGGAAACTTGATAATTTCCCACTTTTTGAGTAGACTTTATTTCCACTTAGACAGTTCCTACATTGATTGCTCAAGGAACATTGTAGAAGTGGGGAGCAAAAAGGTGGTAAGAGCCAGAATACTAGGAAGTCTAGTGGGAAACAATCTCTCCTAGAATTGGATGAATACACAAGACCATGCAATGGCAAGATCAGTGGACATGTTAACATGGAAGAAGAAAAGTTCATGGGGTCCATCCCCAAGCAGAAAAACTACAGGCAACCAATGACTGCTGGGAGAAGTAGAATTTGTCTCTTTCAGGAATAAGACCCTTTTGGTTGTCCAGTGTCCACAAAAACTGACTTGGCAGTCTCTCTCTCTCTCTCTCTCTCTCTCTCTCTCTCTCTCTCTTACACACACTTAAAAATAAATACTGGAAACCATAAAATTAGTATATTACAAAGTAGAAAAGTAGTAAGTTAAAAATAACCTGCATAGCCCATACCACGGTGAGTGACTCTCTGCCCTTGCCCAACTCCTGTCCAAAGCCCCATTCACCCTGATCTCTCTGGGCCTGCGCCTGCTTGGAGTAGACCCACCCAAACACGGAGGAGCTCCCTGAGTGCAGAAACACCTAACTCTTCTTTCCTGCTCCGTCGACCTTTCCCATACCAAGGTGAGTGACCCTCTGCTCTTGCCCAACTCCTGTCCAAAGCCCCATTCACCCATCTCTCTGGAACTGAGCCTGCTTGGAGTAGACCATTAAACATAATAAAAATATCTGATATAACAGAATTTGAAAATCCTCCATGGAAGACCTCATCATCCATGGGGAGCAAAAAAGGGATAGGATAGTTAGTCAATGAGGGCCAGGGGAGAATGGGAGGAAGAGGGAATTGGTATTGACTTGGAAAAGAATCTTTTTTCTAATTTAATGTTTTAAAAAAGGATAAAAATCCCACATCTGACAGAGGACTGATTTCCAAAATATATAAGGAGTTCAAGAAGCTAGCCTCTAAAACACCAAACAATGAAATTAAAAAGTGGGGTGCAGAACTAAATAGAGAATTCTCAACAGAAGAATCTGAAATGGCTGAAAGACACTTAAGAAAGTGCTCAAAATCATTGGCCATCAGAGAAATGCAACTCAAAACAACTCTGAGATACCACCTCACACCTGTCAAAATGGTTAAAATCAAAAATACCAATGACAATCTATGCTGGAGAGGATGTGGAGAAAAAGGAACACTCCTCCACTGCTGGTTGGAATGCAAACATATACAGCCACCTTGGAATCAATATGGCAGCTTCTTAGAAAATTGGGAATCAATCTACCTCAAGACCCATCAATATCATTTTTGGGTATACCCAAAAGATGCTCAATCATGCCATAAGGATACATGCTCAACTATGTCCAAAGTTGCATTATTTGTGATAACGAGAACCTGGAAACAAACTAAAAGCAAAGAATGGATAAAGAAAATGTAGTATATTTCCATAATAGAGTATTACTCCGAGTTAAAAATATTTAATGACATTATTAAATTTGCATCCAATGGATGCAACTAGAAAAAAAATCATCCTTGGTTAGGTAATACAGACCCATAAAGACAATCATGGTATGTACTCACTCATAAGTAGATATTAGATATAAAGCAAAACATAGCCAGTCTACAATCCACAGCCCCAGAGAAACTAGGTAACAGGGAGGACCTTAAGGGGGACACAGAGGAATCACCCCCTAGAAAGGGTAAATGGATAAGATCTCCTGGGCAAACTGGAAGGGGCTACATTGTGGTGATATATTACTTATGATTTAGTAAAGCTTGCCTCGAGTGTTTAAGATGGAAAGCGAGCCACACATATAGTGGTCAGGCAGTGTTTATATACACCTTTAAATCCAGCAAACATACTAGCTAGCCATAGAGCTACATAGTGGTGGTAGAGGCCTTTAATCCCAGTAGTCAGGATTAAGCAGTAGATGGATCTCTGTTCGTTCAAGGTCACACTGAACTACTCGATATTGATCCAGTAGAATAAAGTGGTAAAATCTCAAACAAATGAGATCTCAGCACTTGGGATCCCATACCCTTAATTCCGTTATTTGAGAAATATAAAAGGAAGAAGGAAGGTTATCATGAATTAGTTCCTAGTCACCACTTCTGAACTCCATGTAATTTTTTAAATCATTTGTCCATCTCTGATTGTTTTCCATCAAACTTGAATGGTAAGGAAAGTAAATACCACTTATTGTTTTTTTTGAAGGAAGAGTCCAGTCCACAATTGTTCACTACGTTCTGTAGGGATGTCGTTGTGTTTTCTAAATCTTCAAAAGAATCCATTAAAATAACATCCAGAACCCCATCATAAAAATTCATATTTTTCACCTGTATAAAATAGAAAGAATGAAATGGGAGTAGAGTCTGAGCTTTGGAATGCTAGGATTTTTAGTTATTTGGACTGTGTTTCTCCACCTTGAGACGATAAGTAAGTACAAAAGCACATCTCCAGGGATTTTTTCCTTCCTGGCCCACGAGGTCAGATCGGTCTCTCTTTACCATCCCTTTCCTGTGCTTCAGGCAAAAGTAGTGGCAGCGCGCATGGGGCATCGCTATTCACCCCCTCCAGATCGGCCAGTCTTACCTACCAGATCACCATCTTGCTCTGTCACTCACTCACATACAGCATGTGCTGTACCAGGTGTTCAGATAGCTACAGAAGCAAATGAAAAACATGGAGCCTACTGGGGAAAACAGCATGAAAACAATCCCACAGATATCAGTTACAACCCCAATAAGCACAATAAAACATCAAGAGAGTACGACACAGATTTGTTTTAAGTCAGACATTAGAGATGAGGAGTGAGCCTTCCCAGGAACAGGGAATTCCTGGCTCCAAAAATCCCGTTCAAGCAGTAGGGATAAAGCCTGGTCCCCCTGCCAGTGGCACTCACAGTCTTCCCAAGTCACACAACTGTCACCACATTCAGAGGGCCTGGTTTCGTCCTATGCAGGTTCCCCCTCTGTCAGTCCAGAGTCAGTGAGCTTCCACTAGCTCAGGTCAGCCGGGTAATTGCTTCTGTTGATTAACTCTTGTGCATTTCACCTGCACCCGCACTGGGAAAACTTTAACACCAAACTGGTCTTGGCACCTTTTCTCATGTTATTGCTCCTCCATCTCTTCAACTGGACTCTGGGAGCTCAGCCCAGTGCTTAGTTGTGGATCTCTAACATTTACTGGATGAAGATTCTACAATGATAATACAGGTAGTCATCAGTCTGATTACAGGGGAAGGCCAGTCCAGGCACCCTCTCCACTGATGCTTAGGGTTTTAGCTGGGGTCATTTTGTGGATTCTTGGGAATTTCACTAGTGCCAGGTTTCAAACTAGCCCCATGATGACTCCCTCAATCAAGATATCTCCTTCCTTGCTCTCCCTCTCTGACCTTCCCCCATCTTTTCCATTCCATTCTCTCCTGTTATCCTCCCATCTCCTCTTCTTCCTCCCCTACACCCTCCCCCCGGCTCCCGATTTTCTCAAGAGATCTTGTCTATTTCCCTGGGTGAATCCATGTATGTTTCTCTTAGGGTTCTCTTTGTTACCTAGCTTCTCTGGTGTGTGGACTGGTTATCTTTTGCTTTGCATTTAATATACACTTATGAGTGAGTACAAACTATTTGTCTTTCTGGGTCTGGGTTACCTCACTCAGGATGGGTTTTTCCTAGTTCCATCCATTTGCCTGCAAATTTCAAGTAGTCATTTTTTTTTTTTTGTCCTGCTGAGTAGTACTCCGCTGTGTAAATACACCACATTATTTTTATCAGTGTTTTGGTTGAGTGACATTTTGGATGTTTCCATGTTCTGGCTATTAATAATAGTGCTGCTAGGAACATAGTTGGACACATGTCTTTGTGGTATGATTGAGCATCCTTTGGGTAGATGCTGAGGAGTGGTAATCCTGGGTCTTGAGGTAGACTGATTCCCAATCTACTGAGAAGCTGCCATAGTGATTTCGAAATTGGATGTATAAGTTGGCACTACCACCAACACTGGAGGAGTGTTCCTGGGGGATAATTTTTAAGTATTTAAAGGCAATTTGAATCCTAGAATTGCTTGTATGTCCCTTGTTTCTGTGACCATTAGCAATCCCAGGGTTAACTGCACTTCTAGGACAGTTGTACAGTTCCTGACAATGAGCGTTTCCCTTTGGTAAACGTTCACCCTCTTCCTCTTAGCTTTCCTCTACTCTTATATTCTTTTCTCTGGGTAGTTATTGTATTTGCATAATAAACATCTATATAATATTGTGGGCCTGAGTGATCTGTACAAATAAAAGTATTG